TATTAACTAAAAATAGCAATCAAGAATTGCGTTCATTTGGAAAATGGAACAAAAAAATTTGAAATAATTTCATAAAAAAAGCCTGGATATCTCAGATTGAAAATTTAAAAAAAAAAAAATTCGCTTGTTTGTTTCAATTTCTTATCAATTTAAGCCTAGCTTCAATTTTTCATTTCAAACTTCAATATCTGCGCAGTTGAAAATTTACTTTTAATTTCTCCTTTTTCAAATAGCTTTAAAATTGGCCATCTGGAAAACAATTATTTACCACTTGAACTCTCTTCCATTGAAATGAAGCTTGAATGAATCCCCATGATCGCATATATGTAAATACGCAAAGAGAGGCCTTTATAAACACACAGGTGCAATTAGCCGCAAACGGGGCTCGCGAAAATGTTTTGACGGATCGAATTTCTGCATGACAAATTGGCCCCTTTGTGCGCGTCGAGTGAGATCGGGTTGGGCACAACAACCTGGGGAGCATCCGGAGCATGAAGTGGCAGCAGACGCAGCAACAACACAGATTGTGTATCTCGCGATGTAAATTGATATATATATTTTAAATCAACAGCGGCAAAAATGTTTGCAGTATTTACGGCCGCCCGCCTCGAAACTGGTTTTATTAATCTACACATCACGACTGTGCAAACGCGAGTACTTTTCATTTTCCCATGATGTGCTGCCGATTTCACATGCGCAACTCGAGAGGGACACCTGAGAACGAACAGTTTTAGTGGCGAAATAAAATAATGCGAGTTGTAAATTAAATTTCTTAGCAGGGCAATTTGTTCGCGTTGGCGGTGAGCGTTTGATGACATTCATCCACTCGCGAAGAGTGGTCGTAAAAGGAGCTGTTATACGCCTCGGGCCTGTATTTCTTTTCCGAGTAATTTGAGAAAATATGAGCAGACGTGCGTAGTGTTTCTTTTTACGAGCAGGGATGAATTTGCAGTCGGCTAAATGCTTCATTAATCTCACGTCTCACTTGTAATATCAAAATTTACCATCTTATTGTGAATTTATCAAATTATTTTGTGTTATAATTTAAATTTATATTTATAAATTAGGGGCAAATTATAATCCAAGGATCAAAGCACTTGTGGATTACAAATTGACTTAATTCAAAATGCTGCTAGCTGTTGGTGCTGAAATATTTATTTTATTGCAGAAAAGATAAATTTTTGGAAAATGCTTTATCTCCAATAGTGTCAATGTAAATTTCAAGATCAAGTTATTATTTTAATATTTTGTTTTGCTAACTTGATTGTGGTGATTTTACGAAGGTGTCATTAATTTTAATCAGGAAATTTTGTGAAAATATGTTGTTTTATAAAATTCCCTTTAATAGAAATTGACAAAATCAAGTTTTCAAATTAATCAAAGCTCTCAATTGTGAATGAAAATTGCCTTTGGAAATCAGAGTTTACATATAAATACACAAGTTAATCCAAAGGATCAATTGTAATACATCAAACTGCGTCTAAAAAAAGATTTCCTAAGTTTTAATCTGAAAGTCCAAAGCTCTATAATGCGCCAAAGTAAATTTTGCCCATAATTTATTTGTCTCCCTCGATTTCCGTGCAATTCAGCACAAGTGGATAAACTCGAAATTCAATTATTCACACGCGGCTAGTTTCCAAAACCGCCATCGCTTTTTTGCATTAATTCGCACATTCGCCGCACGCCATAAATTAAAAAGCGAACACGGTGAATGCGTCGCAGCCGCAAACGCGTCCGAATTATTCCATTGTGCAGTGGTTCGATTTAAATTACAAATCAGCCGGACTCGGTGGTCGCGCGCCCACAGTTCGCAAACACACAATGAGAGTCGCAGCGTGCGTTTTGTCGAATGGCCGCGGCAGCCAGTCTGCTTTGTTGGTCCTGTAATTAGGCCTGGCAAATTTAATTAGCTGGCGCCTGATGCCCTGTCATCTTTGTGCTTTGGTGCGAAATTGTAATCGCGCTCGATTTGCCTTTCTGTTATGACGAAGGGCATAACTCGCTATGTAAACTGGTGTTTTGGTGACGCAGGTGCGTTTACCAGCGATTAGTCTACTATGCATATTGGTCAAAGTTTGACATTCGGATTTGTATGTTAAAACTGAATTATGTATGTTGCGTTTTTTTAGGGGATTATGACATTGTATAAGTATTTTTTTGATTAAATTTTTTTGAAGGTTGAATTTTCCTCATAAAAACGATTTCTTCTTCTTCAAGGTATCAATAGATTTGTCTTATTTTTGTGAAGATATCAAAACAATTCCTGTGATATAGTGAGATGAAAATAAAATTAAATGGAATAATATTTAGTTACCAAACGTTTTAAGTGTAATAATCTCAAAAATATACCATTCCGGCTAAAACTTAAGTTTCAAAAGTCACAAGTTGAACTGCTTTAATTAACTGGTTTTACTTTATTTTTCTATGAAATATCTTTACAATTGTATGAAAGCACAATATAAAAGTGCAAGCATTTTCATATTACTTTTGTTTAAAAATGTATAGCAATGTAAATATTATTAAATTAAACATACATAATAGCAGAGTAAAATTTGCAATAATTTATAATATTTTTACTTAATTTTTATTTAGAATATTTGGAATATTTTTTTTAAATAAATATCATAATTATTTTATTTTTAAAGATTTTGAAGTAGTTATTTATATTTTTTTTTATGATCAAATTTATTTTAAAAAGTATTTGAATACTTTTGATAATGTTATAAATATGTCACCTATGAGTGTAAGTATGAGAGCTAATTTATTATATTTCAAAATAAATCCATAGAATTTTCATTTCTTTTTTATAAAAAATAATAAAGTTCTAAATTTAATTTTATAAGGATTGCTTCCTCAAAATACAGCTTGAACAGGGCGCAGTCGGCTGATAGTCGCGGGCAATTATTTCAACTAGGCCGCGCTCGGAATGAAATCGCTCGTCCTCACAAAGCGCTCCGTTCTTCTCTCGCGACCGATTCTCCGAATTGGCGACCGAGTTGACGTATACGAACGAGACAACAAGCAACTTTTGTGCTTTACTGCAGCACGAGTTTTATCGAAAAGAGAATAAAAAAGCAAGCGCTTTGTGAATTTGCCGACCTGCTGCTCGCGGTGCAACAAACAACGCGTGATCCGCAAACTAAAAGGCCGCAAACGAACCGCGCCGCAGTTAATCGATTTCCGATTCGGAATTGATTTTTAATTATATACGAACGCATTCGCACGCGCGTGCGGGTGGCCGATTTGCCTCGTTTAATCTCGGATTTAATTAATGAAAATTGGCATCGACGGCAAAAGCTGAAGGGGCTTTTGGGCGGCGGCCGTTTTCGCTAATCAATTCGGCAATTAATTACAGATGGCAGGCCGAAAGTGCTGCACTTTTGCTTTTCGCCGCATCGTCAGCATCCAAGGTCGTTAGTTGGTTCTTTCCAAGGACCATTTGAACAGCGGCAATCAAGAGTGATTCTGCGAAGTCTCGTTTTAGCGCGCAGATTGAGACGCCGAGTGCGGAAAATTAGATGAAATTTCTGCAATGGAAAACAAGCAGACCGTAAATCACAGAGTGCTGGGAAGAGATTAATGATGGTCGAGAGAGAGATGAGGCTCTTCTAATGTGCGGTTTCTGATTTACCTCGAGGTTTCGCGCTCATCAATCTAGAAAAGAGCAAATAATATCTCGTCTGTGCGGTCTATTACTCTGCGGCCTCGTGAACTCTCTTAGTTAATTAGAGGAACGTCAACAGTTTAAGTGAGTAATTTTTCACAATGAATTTAATAAATTTTTTCCTAGAATTTTAAAGGAAATCATTCAAAACGTTTCATTTACATTCATCTTTTTCCCATTTAAAAAGTTTTCTAAAAATTCCTGTAGATCAAGAATTAGAGAGTTTTGAAAACTTGAGTGATAATTAATATTTGGCTTTATTAACACGACAGACATAATGTTCAGAAAAAAATAGATAAATTTAATTTTAATCGCTATCTTGTCCTCATTAATTGTGTTTTTATAATTTTTTTCTGGAAGTAAAACAATTCTTTTTATTTTGAACTAGTTTTTAATATCCAATAAAACCATCGTGAACAAAAAGAACATAGATATGCAAAAATTGTCAATAATTTTGCTGATAAATTCAATATTTTGCAAGTTAATTAAATTTTACCCACATGAGAAGATAGAAATATTGGAGGATATTCGCATGCTATATAAGCCTATCCCAGCAATTTTCATTCTCTAATTTAGCAAGTGAATGATCCTTATTATTTTTAGAATTAATTAAAATTGGAATTATTTATCTCTACTTGTTAATAAAATTAAGAAGAGCACTGGAAATTAATTATCTTTTTTTTTAATTCCTATCCAATTCTTTCATTTAATAGAGCTATGCATAATGAAATACGAAAGCAAGCCAGTGCTTTGCATTTGCCCGAGAGCACTTCTTCATTTTAAATGCATTGTGCTCCGTCTCTTTTTATATAAGCATGACGGAAAATAATCTCACTCGTTATCCACTGGGACGAGGTGACATCACGGCTATACACATTCAGTAGTGAGTGTGGTCCATTATTATAATGCGGCTAGACCGAAGCCAAGTATAAATTATTTGAAGAACTACATAATACGGAGAATGTACCGTTGGCTGAACGCTAAAAGGATCATGAGAAGAGGCCCGGTCGGTGTTATATTATTATTATTATTATCAACCGAAGTGGAGCTTTATGGGACGTCGAAGCTCTCTTCTGATGAGCACCGTGTCTGAAGGACACGTGTTTTCCACGGTGATACATAAATACCATCGAGAGTAAAAGAAATACAACTACTATTCATGTCGTTTCCCCTCCGCAGAGTTATATAAACACATACGCCGAAGGGATTATTACGTTTGATAAACAAAAATTACATATCTCTGTTACTCTCGCGAGAGATAAGAGAAAGAAAAAAGAACCCAAGGTGCTTTCAAGGTTGCGCTCTTTTATTATTATTATTTTTTTCGTCTTCTTTTCCTGGCTGACTCTTGGCGAACGACGACCGCTCTGGCAAATCCGCCTTCTCCTTTTTGGCCAAATTGTATTATGGTATTAATTTTTCGCTGAGCACACCACGTAGCTCGCGGGCGCGAAGTGACGTCATAATTATATTTATTGCCAAATGCAGAGGAAATACCTGCGCCCGGTTTTTTTTTCTGCGTAACAAACACGCTCGTATTTTATAATAATAAAAAGGTCGCCTTCGCTGATTTATTGCTCACCGCGAGCAACAGGAAATTTGGTAGGCGTACATGTCGTTTCGGGCACAAAATTTCCTGATAAATGATACGCGCCTCGCCGCTGAAAATGTCAAGGTGTTTGTCGTCAAGAGCATAATCAAAAACGCGTCTTTCCTGATTTTTTCTGACTTGAATGATTGCAATGAGCGATACATACGAAATTACTTGATTAATATTAAAGTCCATTGCTTAATATTTTGTATTTAATAAGAATTTCATTACAATAATAATTGATAATTTATTAAGGTCCAAATAATGGAGAAAAGAAACGGTGAATTGAATTTTTACTTTGGAATTTCACTTGCTTAATTTTTCGCTGATCAACTTGATTATATGAATTAATTTTATATTATCAATAAAATAAAATAAATCCAAACTAATCAATGTCTTAGTAAATAAACATTATACAATTATTTATTGTTTATTGTGTAAAATTTTTAATATTCATAAAATATAAAAAGTAATATTTAGGCTAGAAATTAAAATTTTTTGTTAATAAGAAATATGTCGTAATAATTTTTTAATGCATTACCTGTAGTAGTATTTTACGGTATTTTAAATTAAATTTGCTGAGTCCCACGTCATCTTTGAATTCTTTTCATCCTACCGAAAATGATCGTATCGCTACTAATTAATTTCTCTGCAGATTTTCCTCCTCTGTCATTTATTATACTTGACTAGCCCCAAATCCAACGCAGGCTCCTCTGCGCCACTGCTGCGATGAGGAAAGATCTGCGTTTATATAAAAAAATCTTTATACATTTCTCGGCACTTATTGATCTTTCGCGTCTGGTGATTCATGTGCACCTCATTTCGGCGGGCTTATCTCCCTCTCGGTTGTCACCATTCGTAAAGCCGGCTAACTTATTGAACGCGCGCTTTCAGCAACAGGAAATGAACCTGACAGCTGCACATCTCTCGCGTTCACACCAGGCCAGGTGAACTCATTATTTTTCTCGTACGAGAGCAACCCTTTTTGGCCGCAAATGGCTTCTCGGTTCCTCCCCTGTAGAAAGGCCTCTTTAAGATATGTTTTCTTTCGGGTCTAAATTTTATATATGCAAGCTGGAGAGGAGCAAAGATAAGATTTCATACGATCCTTCGAAAAGCAAAGCCGCCGTGGAGAAATTTATATATATTTTTATCAAATGTGGTTTTGCGTATCCTCGGGCCACGGAATCGCGCGACTCTGCTGGCTTGGCGATCGCAAACAATGATACTGCATATGCGAGGCGAACGTACGTGTTTCTGTCGCCGCGACCTTGCCTTGATGAAGATTAATACTAATCAAAAAGCGCTTCCTCTTTTGGTTCCCTTCTTGCATATACAGGACCACCCGCGGCTTAAGTAACGAGTTTGCTAAATAAAACCGCGGAAAACATTATCTTGCCTTTCATAGAGAGTCGGTTACATCGATTTTTTTTTTAATTAATTGTCTCTATGCAGAGGTATTTTAATAAAAGTAAAAGGTCCTAGTTCATCATTATAAAATACCACAAAATTTTCCTTAAGTTTTTACACTAACTTTTATATTTTGTGAAGTGCTGAATTCGAATCGTCAATGACAAAAAAATTTAATTAAGTATTTTACTTTACCAATTGTCGCAATTCTGTTTCATTAATTTGAACCTCTTTATATCTGATCTTTGAATGACTGAATTGCTTACAAATCGAATTTTCTTTTCAGAGCCGCCTGTTTTTTTTTATATAAATTATTTTCTTGATACGCTGCGCATAAACAAACCCTTTTTTGTGTGCTTTAATGAAGATTTTCTTTGCTGTGAAGTTTCCAAGCTGCTCACGTTTGCTTTGGTGTAGTTTGCATTCGCCTGCTTTTCTCTCTTGGCAGTCAAGAGGTTTCGTGTTGAAAGTGGCGTTCCAAGTGGAAAATCAAACTTACAACGTTATTGCCGCGCGAGTTTGCTTCCTTCTCTCCAGTTGCAAATTTCTTAAAACAGCAGCTCTCTCGCGGGAGCTGGCGGAAAACGCTGCCTGCTCCTTTTTGCACGAGGAAATAAAAAGCGGGCTTCTCTCCTGAAGGCACGTGAAGAAGTTTATTCGCCTCTGTTTTCCGTCCAACACCGTAAACAGCACAAAGCTGCATGAAAAAGTCCTTCCCAAAAGGTATAAGGCGGAGCCGTGAGAGAAATAAAACCGTGTTCGGCCCAAATGTAAATCTAAATCACGGCATTAAAAAGGCTAGAAGCGCAAGGGATCTCATTAAAATTTCAAAAAGCGCACGAGTGAGAGAAAGAATTATCATCATCCAGTTTTCGGTTATTTTCCTAAGAGCAGCGCCGGTCCAAATTTATCCCAGCGGTCGCGGTCGTAAATTCAATTTACTGCTATTACGGGGACCACCTTTGGAATAAGTGACAAAAGTCTGGTTCGGCCCTCGTAAAAAACGCTTGCTAAGATGAAGTTCCGAGCGTATAATGAATATTTAAATAAATCAATCGGTCCAGCGTGTTTACAGCCGCACAATAAAAGTTGGAAACCGCGGCGAGAATGGAAAAGAATTTCTCCGCTTGTGATATTGATTTGAAATGCAGACGGTGTTCCACTTGGTGCCAGTCAGTATATTATATATTATTTTTCTTCTTTTCTTCTCTGCGCTGCCGGTTTTTAAAAAGCTACCTGCGACTTCTTTTCATCCTTGAAAATGCAGCCAACGCTCATTGCGATGCAGCTATTTGCTCGGACAAAAAGAAGTTGTTCTCCGGCGAGAATGCGCGCTTTTCTCGGCGAGATTATTTGCTTTGGAGAGAAATAAACAGACACTGCAGGTTATTAAATAAATACTCGCCTGCTGGACAGCAACTCTCTAGCGAAGTTTGCCGACGACAAACACCACCGTCTTTATCAGCATTTGCATATTCCAATTCTTTTGTTTGCTATTCCATCTGCTGATTCTTTTCAACTTGTTGAATTGGAAAAGAAAATTTGTGCTTGTTGACAAAGTTGAAACCTCTTTTGAAAGTTTTGTCTGATGCAGTCTTATGAAGAAATTCTTTATTTTCACCAGAATTCATTCATACATTTTAATCTTCGTAAATTACATGTCATTTGTTTTAAAATTACAGTTAAATTTACTGTAAATTTTATATTTTTCCATCAAAATTTACATGTAGTTCGTTACTGTTAAACTCAAGTGAAAAATAATTAGTTCAAAATGGAAAAACATGAATTTTAGAGCAAAAATTAAACGAAATATATGATTTTTTTAAATTATGTTTTGTAATTAAAAGCTGACTTTACAACTTAACTTGCAATTGGGACCCTCTTTCAAGTTTTCCAACTTATACATCAGCTTAAAGAGACTCTTTCTCAAGTTTAGAGATGCATCTATGGTTTTTTAATGCCATGATCTTCAAATTCCGATGCCTGCAAAGTTAACGAGAGAGGATAATTAGCCTACCTCTGTGCGAAAGAATGCACAACAATGTGACATTAGCGGCCTTTGCTTTATCGCAATATCTGCGTCATAAATCCTTTCAGTGCAGTGGTGCATTATTTTCCGATTGGTTATTTATCGCTCGGCCAATGCAATTAGCCTTGAGTGTGCGCTTTTTCTTCTTTATTCTCGAAGAGACTTCGTGCAGGAGGTTTAAAATATTGTGCATATTGCACGCTGCCAGACCGGGCAAGCATTATGTTATATTTGCGTGTGTGCGATGAGAAATAATGTTTTCATGCATGACACACGCTGTGAATAATGTTCTGCGCACGGAGTTTAAATAAAATATTTCATTTGTTCAAAAGTGTACCGAGAGAGATAATTAATTGCTAATTTATCGTTCTTTTGTTCCAGGTAAGAGAAAGCGATTTTGATCTACCTCCATTATTACATTGAAATGAGTAATCGGCTTTAAGATACTTGTGAGTAGGAAATTCGGTATTTAATTTATTTTTTACCAATAATTTTATGTTTGTAGCATATTATAAATTTGTGCAGGATCTAAAGAAAATTAAATTTTTCTGCTTTTAAAAAAATTGATCGGTATATTTTTTCATCAATTAGATATGAAAATTTAAAAAATTTAACTTTCATAAAATTTATTAATTAAAAAATTTTAAAATTCAATTATTTTTAATAAATCATTTTATAAATTGATGAAGGTTTTTAACCGGAAATCATCAAAAGCGCCTTGAATAAGCTTTTATGGATTATTCACATTTTCGTTCTTCAATTTTCATTGAGCTTGATTTGCTCGGCGGAGTCGTTTTGATGCAGAAATAACGAACGTTAAACGGCACGCCTGCCCTCGTGAAGGTCATTCGCCGTAATTCCCTTTGTTTCCGCGCTCGACCTTCAATTGCACGCGAGTCCAAAAAAGCAGAGCCGGCTTTCTGCTCCTCTCCTCTTCGCTCACCTGAACCCGTTCCGTCCATTCGGCATTCGCCAGTTTATACATAAAAGTGTACACGCGAAAAATTGCAGCCCATGATACAATGGCTCGGAGTCGTAAAAGAGCAGCGCAGAATTTTTATTATCATTTTTGTGCGTCCGTGTGCCCATAATGGTCCGGGTAGGTTTAATTTTAAAAAGAGTGTGCGGATTTTTATTGCCGCCTGGAAGAGGAAGACGCCGTTTTTAATAAAAAATGTCGGGGGTTTTATCATCGACAGACCTCAACTTTTTTATGCATTAAAGTGGCCCTTCCGCAAAAATAGCTCCTAAAAATTGAGAAATGAAAAAATATCGGCCAATTAGCACGCGCGAGCAACCTTGGTGCCTTTTTTCTTTTATATATTTTTATTTTTTCCCTCCGTATATAACTTTTGCTTTTAGAATTACCCAAATTCCTTTGCACGATCGGCGCCTTTACTTTTATATCCCTATCGGAGACACAAATATAAATTTAAATCACACTCAACGCTCTCCGCGGCAGTTAAATTAAAACCAAAGTGATGTAATGCCCGATAAGACGCACTCTCTTCTCTGTTTTATTCCCCCGAAATAAAATCTGGCCCATCAAAAAACGCCCGGCCGGAAAAAGCTCAGCGCCCGATTTATGTCCCCGCAGCATACCTCACCCCTTTTCTTTCATCCGGCCGACATGAATAATATCACCATCAGACAAGACGAAACAATGAGGACAAAAAAGTTGACATTCATTTCAATTATTATCGTGACACTCGGAGAGCGACGGGCCCATTTAAATCTCTCTCGTCTAGTTTTATTTTCGGCTCCATTACTTCTCTTTACACGCGGGGAGTTCGAGAGAGATTGCACGTGATGAGGGGGTGTGTGCGCGCCGTCGGAATTGACTTTTCGTTCCTGTTCGTGAAAAAACGCAGAGAGCTAGGGAAAGAGAGACTGCCGGTGCTCTGTGTGGGAATCTCGCGGCTTGCATCTCTCGCTTGCTTTTTTCCCTTCGATAACAATGAGGCAAAACTAGCGCTTGCTAGAGCCGTGGTGCTCAGTGAGGGCGGAGAGCAAGAGTTCTGCCGGATTTGAGCCAGCAAACTTCTATGTTTGCTCGGTTTGTGGAATGTAATCTTTGTCAACACTAGACTCTAAAAATATTACTGGAGAATTTGATAAATATCTGGGCTTTTAATTTTGTTGCGGTAATGTATTCTATCTTATTATCTTCATTAAATATTGTATAGTTTAATGCAAACGAATTAGCAGTGTTTAATTTTTTCTTTAAAATTAAGTAGTATTTAAGTTGGAGTGAACGTTTTATTATTTATTTTAATATGCCTTTAAACAATTTTATATTTTTACACTGGACCGATGTTGAGTAATTTCTTTTCAATTGGCTGTCAAATTTTTTAATTCATTTTAAAACATTGTATTTAATATAAATTTAAAAATTTAAATATATAATAATTGTCTTAAAAATATCTGTTTTACTTAAAAATGCATTTTTTTTTTGTTAGTACTTATTCATTGTAAGCAATACAAATCCTTTGATCGCTTTAAACTAGATAAAAGTTCTTTCTAATGTTTATAACATTTTTTCCTAAACCAAGCTATACATGGACCAATCATTTATAAAATTTTCTAATTTAATATGAAAAGTTCTTTGTAAATAAATAGAGATCTCCGTTTAGATAGCATTTCTTAATAATTTCCAACTTAAAAAACCTTTTCTGGAATCAAAAAACTTGTGTAACTTTCTGGTTAAAAGATAAACTCTTTCCAGGAATTGGAGTTACTTTTACTTCCCAGTATTTGATGTAAAATGCTGGAAGTTTTAATATCAACGATTTATCAACCTCTTTGGAGTAAAACGGTGCGACACGGAATGAATAAACGTGTCATATTAAAAAGAAAAGTTGCTATTTTCCACGACCCCTCTCTTCGGGGAGAGAGCACAAGTGAGATCCATGCTCAGCCGCTTCCTCTTTTAAGATAAGGGTAGTCATTATTTTGAATTGGATTAAAGTTGCAGAGGCGCAAGCTGCATTATCCCTTGTTTAATTCCCTCCTCCGTGGCTTTATGACACTGCACTCGAGAACGCACTGGCGAAGAAAGCCCCTCGGCCGGAAAGACCGAGAGCGAGAGGGAAGGTGCACCAAGTTATGCAACCGGCAGAGCATTCTAGATTTAATTTCAATTTCCAGCGCAAATTGTTTCAAAGTGACCTTTTTTTGTTCAGGCCCTAATCACCGGTGGCTCCTTTGCTTAATTATCATACAAAATGACTGTGTGCCCTCGTTTCTGCCATACCCCAAATTGCACCCCCGGCGGCACGCACGTTTCGATTTTTGCTTCCCACGCGGATGTATATTATTTTTAACGCTCGCCGCAGCCCTCGATTAAGAGGGTGGTTATTTTCTAGGATTTCCCCTTTATCGCGCGCCGCGAGAAAACGCATTCCCATGCACGGTGCCGCCGCGAAACGAGCAGTGCGTGTTTTGTTCGGCCAAGTCACAACTCACCCCCGACTGCCACAATCTAAATGGCATCTTGTGTTTGAGAACAAATTTGGATGTTAAATTGCGCTTTAAGAAAAGTAAACACATCCAATGCAGCCTGCCAGAATGATATGCGCCTCATTTAGATAGCTCAGAGTTGGATTTTTTGGGCAAAGCTAGGGGATGTTTCGTGCTTGTTCAACCTAAATCAGGCGAAATAATTATGCCTAGCCTTGATTTAAAAACAAAAGAAAATTATTGTACCAAAAGGAGAGATTAAATTTCATGAGGGGAAAAATAATTAAATTCACCTTATCCTCCCATTAAAGAAAAAAGCATATAAGCTGCCTATGAGAGAAAAGATTTTTGTTTTTAATTGACTCCAAAATTCATTCTTACAGAGAATCTTAGTAAATTGTGACATTCTAAGTGTATAAATTAGCATACTTTTTATTTTTATTTTTTGCAAATCATGTTATAAATATTGGAACAAAATTTAAGTATAAAAATCTTACTTTCAATTGATTTTACTTTTTTATAATCGTGAAAACAGCTTAGTAAAAAGATCTTTTTGAATTAAAATATTTTTGAATTTAAATTTAAGCCCAAAACACGATTAACATTGAAATTAAATTTTATAGATCAAGCTAAGCCTTCTTAAATTTGTGTCCCTTTAGTATTGAAAATTTTAATTTTGAGCATTCAGAAACTTCAGCCGTGTTCAACTATAGATAGAAATGGTAATGAATTGGGTGTTCCATACAATTTAAAATTAATTCTAGTCTTTTCTCATTTTTCTCTGTTTGTACATTTTTTTAGCCAATTGGGTGAAATGGCATCGAAATTAAAACAAAAAAAAATTGATTGTAAATAATTTAAGATATCTCATTTATATGCAGTGAACACAAAAAATATTAGGGGATCAAAACCCAAAACCGCAGTGCGATTGGACACTTTGATACTTTTTTCATTGTACGCATTATATCGGAGCCTTTAGGGCGTTTCAAGTGCAAAAAGCCAAATTGTTCTCCGGTGTTTCGGATGTGGCCCCAGGACAAAAGAGAGGCAACAGCGTCCGATCCGAAATTCAACCGGTTGACAAATTTTGTGAGCTGCCGAGCAGAAAAGCCTGCGGGCCGTCGAGCAGCAAAACCTGCCATTCCTTCCACTCGGCGGCTTTTCCAGCTACGCAGCTCTGACATTTGACCCAAAATGGTCGGCTGCGCGAATCGCCGATCAATTACCCTTTCGTCAAAAGCGCGGCACCGCTGGCAGGGTTGCCTACTTATATTCTTTCCAAGCCTGGGGTGCTGCGAAAGAAACGGAGCAAAAAAAAATTGAAATATGAGATTCGCAGATGACCTGCCAGTAAAAGAGAAAGAGAAATTCTATACCCACCGTGGCGTGGAACAAGGAAGGCTGCAGGAATTTCTCATAATCTCGCACTGCCGAACGTATTGAGTGCTGCTGCCGGAAAAATTGGTATATGCAGAGGGTGAACTCCCCAGGGGTAGTGTAGTGACATCCACCACCAGCGCAGCTCATGTCAAACTATGTACAATAAAATAATATACGCACACGCGCCGATATTGCTCTCGGTACAAACCGGCGCACAACATGCATTTTTTATCCTGCCGTCTCGTTCTGCGTGAAAATTTTGATTGATTTGCATGCAGGATTAATGAACATTCCGTGTCTCTGTGAGTTGAACGTGTTGTGACATTCACAAGGGAACACCGCCAATCTTCAGTTACCAATCTTGGTCAAATGTGGAAAATAAATTCCAGGAAATATGATCATTTGTCCTACATCCATTTCTTTTATTAAAATAAAAAAGGCAAGAAAATGATTGAAAATTTGGACAATTGTATTTAAGTTAAAATTTCTACACTTTATTTATCTTCAATTTCTTCTGTTGTAATTTTTCGATTTCGTGGCTAAAAAAAAGTTATATCATGGTTTTAATTATTTTTTTTTGCAATTTGATAGCCTCTGATTTTATTAACGT